GAGTCGTCATCAAAAAAACTTTGATATCCACAAAAAAGTGCATCCTTTTTTATTACGATAAATATTGTTTTGTTATGCCTATAACTGGATGGCAGTAGATTTTCTATCGTTTCCACAATTGTTTCTGATTCGACCGTCCTTATTATTCCAGAGGTTATCCTAATTCAAATTATACGCGTTAATAAACGTTTATAACGTTTTATTTTTCAAGATATTCCATGATTCTTGAACTTAAGAAATATTGATAATAATAATATAAGTTTATTCAAAAACGTTTACAAAATATATACATTGGAACATACAGATAGGTATTTTGAATAAACTGGAAAAACCCTTACGAAGTGAACCTTGTAGTAAGGATACGAAACAAATGTACATAGTTCAATGAATATTTAACAAAAATTAATTATCACAAGGGAAAAATTGTCTCATTAGGAAATGAGACATCATGTATATAATTCATGTATAGTGTACTGAGCATTTATTTCAATTCGCATAATTATTTATACTTATATTTATATATACTTATTTGCGATTATTATTTATGTTTCGAATTTTATAATTGAATGTTAATTTTGAGAACCTCACCGTAACATTGCCGTATATTCTTGAATTTCTAGGTATATTGGAGCAGTCTGAAATGATATAAAATAATGATGATATGATATCCCTCTGAAATTATGAAATTTCAATTTTTTACACATGTCAGACCCTCGTAAACATTGCAAATAAGGCATGTCTCTTTCATCTCCTTTCATAAATGGTAATTCCTATAAATTCTGAGAGCGCCGCCACTCTCTAAGCATAAATTGTTGCCATGCAAGGGTTTCGTAGTCCCTAACTTTTTATGTTCATTTTTCATTTCGAGTGAATGAAAAAATCAGTAATTATTTGTGAAGATCTAATCTATGTTACTGTCGTCTCCTTTTTTCGAAATTTGATTCAGTTTTTTTTTTTAAAATCTCAAAATAACGTGTTTTTTGATGATTTTCAAAATTTTTTTCTCAAGAACCGAATCAAATTTCGAAAAAGTGAGACGGCAGGAACATTTATAAGATCTTCATGAATATGTACAGTTTTTTCATTCACTCAAAATGAGAAATGACCGTGAAAAGTTAGGGACTACGAAACCCTTGCACGAGCACTTGCATTATTGCTTTATATCATAGTACAACTTCCTCTTAACAGAAAAGCATTGAAAAGGAATGTTCTCAGATAAATTATGAACGTAAAAAAATGGATATATACATATATGAAGAAATAAATCGAGACTTCGCATTCTCTATCTGATGAAAATATCAATTGTTACGCCTATGAAACTCTAATTCAAACATGTAAATAAATAGTACTTACGAATGGAAGGTGAAATTTGGGTATTAAAACTTTGTTTTTTCGCAAATCCAGCAGTGTAACACCATTATTAGTCTCTGTCTATCAACTTTTCACAGAAGAAATAAAAAAATTCACTCAAAAACAACGAAAACAATAAACTTCCTCGAACACATTAACATAAACGAACAACGCCGAACTCGCCGAAAGCACTAAACATCACGAAACGAGCCTGTTTTGCAGCGGCGTTGTCGGTTGTGTATAATCTCGGTAACCTTCACAGAATAACTTTGAAATAATGTATAACGACAGTTTTATAATATTTCATTGTGACTATCTTTGGATGTATGATTTATTCCTTGAGTTCTATGAATTGGATCATAATGAACATCTAATTGAATAGATGATTACAAAAGAGGTAAGTAGAAATACTTGAGAGGATTAGACTGAGGTTAGGAATTATTAGCGACAGGACGTGACAACCTCCAATTCAACATCAGGTGATATGCTGTGACCGTATTCTCTGACTTCACATTACGATGTAAATAAATGGGTCCTTCTTTGTTTATACGTCCATGCTATATCTTTATAGGCGCTGACGCAGGAAAGAACATGGCTGATACCAGCTGATCGACTATAGCTGTAAAGTTGCTGCATGACATGGAACGGATGAATAAGACAGAGATGAATAGCTGCTACCAGCTGATCCGCAAAGTTATGACTGAGATGTTATGACTTATGGTTAATTATTTCGTAAACAAACTAAATAAACATTTGATACAACGAAATTGAATCATAGATGATGGAAACCGAGATGGAAATCAGGTAAAATGTTCTTGATATTATATTAATTTTCATATTTTATTCATAGTCTTCAAATTATAATCAGATCAACCATAAATTGTACAGCGATTCTGATATGTATCTTGTTTATTCTAGGATCCACCGAGAGATCAACCCTCTTACGCAACGGAAACCACCGACACCTACCCCAAAGGAAATCTGGAAGTTCAGCCCAAGAACAACCCATGGAGATGTACAGTTGAACAATGTTGAGTGGCATGACTGTCATTATGTTTGAAATAAAAATATCAAGTGCCTCTTACCAGTGTATAGCACAGTGAATTTTGAGGATGGTTCATATAGGGTCATATCGCAGGTTATTGTTCTCATTAATTGACGACTTGTGCAATGAATTATAGGGTTAATCATTAAAACTATGGAAACTACCTAAAATATTAAATTTAAACGTTACACCTTCCTGAGGCAATTGTAGCCAACATAACTTCAATGCAATTTTCATTCTTCAAAAGCGAGCATACTTGTGTAAGGTTGAACCTAGGGTTTCGTGTAATACATTATTTAGATAGCTAAAATCCTAACTCTTGAAAATGTGTGTCTAGTCCATAAAAATAATCATCATATCAGATTGTTATCAGTCACACTCGCCAGAATAACAACTTGAGACTGTCTATCTCATCAACAAATCTGATTATAAATTCAGTCCTCTATTTTGCTGCCAAATTGTATAACAATCTAAGAACATTTCTTCCCAAAATCATTAAAGAAATTCTGTAAAGCAAGTTCTTCTTGAGAAGGCACTTTATAACGTTCAAGAATTTTTTCATCAAAGATTGGAATGGTTCTTGAAATTGAATTCTATCAATTTATTCATATACTCCATATTAACAATATCACATATTCATGTTCTAGTAAATAGGTTAGTAGTAAATAGGTATATGTATAAATTAGAACTGAAACATGTTGGTAACTGTGAAGTTACTATACCGTGCTTATATGTGTATTTATGTTATCGCTATGTCGATGAGATTTATTTTTCGTCAATGAAGTATATTTTGATTGATTGATTGATTGATATTTTGAATGAATTCTCCCGAACTCACTCTGCACAACTAAAAATGCATTTTTCATTACATCATGTAGTTGAGAGCATGGATTTTCATGTATTCGAAAGTCTAGCAAAGTTCAAGCAACAGAATAATGTATATTTGAAAATAAATATTTTGTGCTTCTGGAATTAGCAGACTTTGCATAACCAAAAAAAAAAATAATTATTGAATACAGTACATTAATTGATGGAAAATTTGAATTATTCAATAACCTTATACAGGGCATACCATTCACTAAGATCCACATAATAATGATCTTGAATCACAGTAGTAAGTATCCATATCGAAAACGGTTGAGCGCATAAAAAAATCCATGGGATAAAATTTGTCGCAAATCTCATGTTCTATAATGTTGTGATATGTGTTAACATCATTGGAGCTATTGAAACCTAAACACCCAAATTTTGTGACCTTCGACCTTCATTATCTTACGACGCGGGCACAAGATTCTATGAGACTTCCAAGTCAACTTCAAGAACGTCAGAATAAAGGTGTATAACAGTTTCCAGCTCTTTATCTGTCGTTATGAGGTTAACTCTTTTTTTTTAATTAATTAATTGATTAATGTGTATATTCCATGCTTTCGCAACCCTCGATCTACTGAGAATGATTAAAAAATTTGATCTGCGATTGGACATACTCTGATGGAAAATGTTCATATTCCACTTCCAGGAATATGGAAACATATGAAGCATATTGATTCACCATTAAAAACATAACAGATTCAACTCAATCTGTCCACCAACGAAACTTCAGGACTTGTTAACCAGTGGCGGCTCCTCAGAGGAGGCAACGGAGGCTGAGCCACCTCAGACATTCTGATTTTATTTCCTGTTTTTAGGTTAATATTTTTGATTTGGCAACAGTGCTTGCCCACGCATCACACGTTGAAGTCTGCAAATCACGCATAAAATATTTGACTTGGCAACATCTATAAGAGGCTAGACTCCTTCACAACGCGCATCTCACGCGCGCAATGCAAATGCCCGAATACGCCCGAATAGCACGTGTTTGTCGTGTCGCGTCGCGAATTGCGGACAATCCAGAATCCAGCGAGAGTGCATTGTTCATGTTTATGTTAAGTTAATGATTAGGGGCTCTATAAATTTCTGAAAAATGAGTGTTTTAAACGATTGCGATTGAGTGGAATACTTTTTGATGAACCCATTCAGTGCTTTGTCTTATGAAGTTAAATTGATTGTGAAAAACGAACGTCCGACACCGGAATTGAAAAATCTGATTTTAACAGGTAACAAACAAAATCGTTCGTTCAATTCTGATAATTATAAAAAATATATCTGGTTGACGAGATCTGAGGTAAGGAATAAGCTATTTTGTTGGTACTGCGTATTATTTTCAGCCGATAAGTCATCATGTTGGGGGCGATTAGGATATAAATGACTTTAAAAAATTGCCTCGCGGATTGGATAGACACTGCAAATCACAGGAACACATCTCTTGAAATATTATGTTCAGGTCAACTGGTAAACAGAATGTCATTAAAGCTATTGGTTTGTGTGAGTAGAGGGTTGTTTTTCACGATAAATCTCATATTATTCAGCCTCCTCTGTCATGGAAGTCATGAGCCGCCACTGTTGTTAACACTGTTGCCAGGTCTCCCCAGCACGGCTCGTTAGTTCAAAATAGCTGTCGCTTAGTTTATTATTTATCCTCACGATTATTCCTGCTTGTTTTTATTCCGGAATAACTTCGGACTACTTTGAGATATGGATGATTTTCATTTCTTATAATTTATAATACCTGTTACTTCGTGCACAATAGCAGCTTCGTTAGAGTTTACACCCATCAAACATGGTACTTGATTGAATTGTCCTCTCGACAACAAATCTTCAGATTCGCCTGTGAAGAATGCTCCATCATGCACAGGTTCTCTGACTGGGCCAAATTGAAGACCAGCCAGTGCGTTTTGAAGCATTATCTTGGTGAACAAAGCAAAAATATGTTAGTGAAAGTGGGCATTTGAAGAAGACGCAACAGAGAAACTCTATTCTGAGAATTATTCTCATGTAGCTTTGTGGAAACTGATACCTATCCCTATAGGGCACTGGGTCGCATAGATCCATAGTGGAAAATATACTCGTGAGACTTTCAGATATAAAGGAATCTTTGAAAAAAGTTGGATTGAAATCATTATAAAATTCTAAATTGGAATTACTGAGGAATAGAGAAAGAATGAGAATATAAAAAAAATGTTTGATGCAACAGATCACTGGCAATAATGAGAATATTTAATAATTATTTGTTTCATTTAATAACTATTAGTTTTTCAAAGTGTCATATGGGTCTTCAGAGGAGTTACGAAAATAGGAAAACAATGGATTGAATATCAAATACTCATAACATTCAAAAAACAACAGCCCTCCACCTAAAGAGAGAGTTTGAATGATATTATGGTAACAGGTGTCTATAAACATCGAAACACAGTTGAAGACCTCATATATAACTGAAACAAATACAAAAAGAAAACATACAGACACCCTGTCTGATGAAGAGTCTCTAAATAGTGGAGTATCTTGGGAAACACTAATTGTATAAAAAAATTAGAAAACATGTATTTAATGATTTCAGAAGATCTATCCATTGATAGTCAACTCGTTTCCCTACTTTCATCTCTTTTGGAAAGGGATAGGAGATCCCTATTATTCATCACAAATTCGCTCATATTAAATGATACAAAAGCTCAATTTGGGAATATTTCTGGAATAGTAATATATGAATTGATAATGGTTATCATGTATTCGATATCAAAACATTGAAACATTGTTCAACCAAGATAACTCGCTGAAGTCGGATGAATGAAATAAACAGCAATGAGGTAATGAGTTACTCTGAGATAAGTAAGCATTCCAAATTCTCACCAATGTTGAAACCTCAGAAGCCTTTGACTGCAAGATAGTAGCGTTGATTTTCCTCAAGCCATTGATCAAATTCTCGGAGTCTAATGCCACGATAGATAACGCTGCTCCAACAGCAAATGCCGTCTCTCTTGCTCGTCTGTTGAGAGCCCATGGGCTAAGTGACGTGCCACTGTCCAAAATGGCCGCACTAAAGAGACCTATTGAAAATATTTATGTTTATGTGATTTCATGGCAATATGACTGTCATAATACTGAAATTTCGAAATGATTCACCTACTATCTCGATGCCCTAGAAGTGGTTCGAATTCCACTATAAGCTGTAGGTCCCGCTCTTCCTAACCCCGCACAAGTTTCGACTTCTGGGGAGTTGGTTCCCAACTTTGAAGTAGCGATATACAAATTTTACAAATTTTTTTTTACTTCTGAATGGAGAAGTGAATAAACACAATATTTTTTGTATTTAATCTCCTCAAACATCAAATTTGAGATCTTGGCTCTCCTTCTATCAATAGAAGATACAATCGCAATATTCGCAATTCTGAAGGATTCGGAGACAGATTTTTCAAAAAATGATCTCAATAGTCAACCACCAGTCGTCAGTCGCCAGGTATCAATCGTTACAAATATTCTTTTCTTTTATCAATATCTGTGGTTAACTGATTGATTACTGTTTGGAAAATATAGAAGAAGACAACTTCAACCTGAAACAGTATCACTGACATTGAAACAAATGAGCTATTGACAGTCCTATACAGTAGCGCTAATGACAGGCAGACTAATTTCAAGTCAATGATCAGAAAAAATTATATATCTCGCCTACTAACTAGGGGGAAGTCGTTAATCTATGTAACTAGCAAACTATCTTCTCCATTTACATCGACAATGGAAGTAACGATAGGTCGATTTCCCGCTGGCGTTGAATAATGATTTATCGAGTAAGTTCTTTGTCCACAGTATTCACAAAAAACAATATTGTAGGTACATAAGATGCTAGTAGAATGAGCTTCCATGCCTAGGAAAGAACGTCCAAAGCGATTCACATATACAAAAGCTACAACTGCTTCGAATGGGACGGAATTTTCAGGTATCCCAGTGTCATGTTTCATATTTCAACCATCAACTACCTAAGATGTGGTGGGGAAACCACAATAGTAGGGTCATACAAAAAATTCAATTAGATGATATTTAATTTCACCAAGAACATATTAAATTCAGTACCGCCCAGTATCCTATGGAGAGAGTTCAGCCTTTTTGAAAATTCTGAGAAACGGCGAATCGGAATCCATTCTCCAGATCAGGCGGTGCACGTGCATCGTAATTCCAACACGTTCAATTACGCCGTCATTTGGAATCAAAACAGTCAAATTATTTTCGGAATATCTGTGTATTTTATTGCTTTGCATATTATTAGTGATATTCACTACCATATTTCACACTGTAACAATAGGTGACAGTTATTTCATAATTGAGAACTTTGATATTTTCTGTGATATATTTTAGTTTCGTACCCCGACAATGTTTTGTTATTCACTGGAAAACTAGCGTCCTCCAGTGAGGACGCTGTGAAAACAGTCATTTAATATTCCCACAGTTCTCCTTCAGGCTGATGCTGAAGATTTTGGGTTACAATTGTTGGAGCTGCCATGAACCGATATTCCGATATCATTCATTTGAAAGATGATACAATAGTAAATAAGAATAAACATGACAAAAAAAACTAAACAGGGGTGTGTTTGATCACTGATCAAATAGTTGAAATTCGATTATGATAGTGAGATAAAATAACAATGAATAATTCACACTTCGACTTCAACTTTGATGTCATATCAGTAAGTTCTGTGAACATTATAGAATTCTGACATTGATTATATCGATGGTTTAAGTGCAACACTCCATTAGTCCATTTCACAGTAGACACGACAAAGATATGCAAATTTGAATAATTCGATCAATGATAATTTGTTTTGTGCGCTTTTGTTACTGTAATTTTAAATAAAACCACACTCTGGCTGAAGGACCTCGGTCGATGGCCATTTGTTTTTAACCAATAAAGAACATTTATTATTATTATTATTGAAACCACACTTGAGGATTATGATGAGGATCTGAAGCCTCATGGTCCTTTGCCTCTACTACACATTTCTTGGTTGCCTAGTTTCGTTAAAATCTCTCAATAATATCAACACATTGAACTCGGTGTGTCAAAATTTCCGCAGTGTCATGCTTGAGAGGTTTCTGTACTGAACATTGGATTGATCCCGTTTTACGAGGATTCGACAGATAGCGGTACTGGTAATGCATTTTGAATTAGACTTACAAGGTTTTGCCAGTTGATGGGGTTGAGGAATAATATTGCCTAATGGATTGGTGTTATATAGTCGAGAATGTTGAAAAGTCGACTTATGAGATTTTGCACCTCACCATCGATATGCTAGTTTCCGATCAACTACAGTAATCGTCGAACGTCAAAATCCTCCATAACCTCTCACCTCTTGAACTATCTGATTGCACGTGATAGGCCACAGATGCTGCCCCTGCGCTTTCACCGAAAATAGTGACGTTCTGTGGATTCCCACCAAAAAAGGCGATATTCCTCTGCACCCAAGTCAATGCCAACACTTGATCTTTGAGCCCGACATTCCCGGGGCAGGTCAAATCCTCCGTACCGATGAATCCGAAGATGCCCAAGCGGTAATTGAAGGAGACGAACACGAGACCTTCTTCAAGGAAATAGTCCGGACCGAGTTGGGCGTAGGTCGTGTCACCAGACACGAAAGCTCCTCCGTGTATGTATACCAGAACTGCCAGCGAACCGGTTAACTGGAGAGAAACAAAGCAGAACTGTTTACGCAGCATGAAATACATGATGATCTAGTCATTCTATCGCCATCTAGTAGCGTTAGCTCCAAGTACAATTAAACCACTCTGCTGACAGATGACACTATCTGACTACTCGAGTGGAAGTACCATCAGTCCTCTTGATTGAATTGGATCGGATAACTAAGAGATCTAGGATGATGAAAGTTGCCCCAATTGTCAGCTTAAGCGAGACAGTACGATACGACGCATGGAATACATCACCCATTGCGAAGACGCACGATAATACATGGTGATCTAGTCATGCTGTCGCCATCTTTTGGTGTTGATTCCGAAGTAGGACTATGCGATCGGAATAATACTACCTAGCTCCTGCTGGGAATTGACACAAATCTGTGTATCCTAGATCTCTCAGTTATGAGGTCAAGTTCAACAAGGTTAGTTTGTTATGGCATTCTTCCGTTCGTTTGTTCCAATCCTCTGAGCTGCTATTGAATCTAACAAATGAAAAACCAAAAAATTCAACATTGTTTCCTTTTATCAAGACTACAGACAAGCGAATGAAATAACTAACAAACAAACAGAACTTTGATGAGTGGCCAAATGAACGAATGAGCAAATGAGCAAATGAGCAAATGAGCAAATGAACAGGTGAACAAATGAACAGATGAACAGATGAACAAATAAACGAATGAACGAATGAACGGATGAACTGATGAACGAATGAACGAATGAACGAATGAACGAATGAACGAATGAACGAATGAACGAATGAACGAATGAACGAATGAACGAATGAACGAATGAACGAATGAACGAATGAACGAATGAACGAATGAACGAATGAACGAATGAACGAATGAACGAATGAACGAATGAACGAATGAACGAATGAACGAATGAACGAATGAACGAATGAACGAATGAACGAATGAACGAATGAACGAATGAACGAATGAACGAATGAACGAATGAACGAATGAACGAATGAACGAATGAACGAATGAACGAATGAACGAATGAACGAATGAACGAATGAACGAATGAACGAATGAACGAATGAACGAATGAACGAATGAACGAATGAACGAATGAACGAATGAACGAATGAACGAATGAACGAATGAACGAATGAACGAATGAACGAATGAACGAATGAACGAATGAACGAATGAACGAATGAACGAATGAACGAATGAACGAATGAACGAATGAACGAATGAACGAATGAACGAATGAACGAATGAACGAATGAACGGATGAACGGATGAACGAATGAACGAATGAACGAATGAACGAATGAACGAATGAACGAATGAACGAATGAACGAATGAACGAATGAACGAATGAACGAATGCACGAATGAACGAATGAACGAATGAACGAATGAACGAATGAACGAATGGACGAATGAACGAATGAACGAATGAACGAATGAACGAATGAACGAATGAACGAATGAACGAATGAACGAATGAACGAATGAACGAATGAACGAATGAACGAATGAACGAATGAACGAATGAACGAATGAACGAATGAACGAATGAACGAATGAACGAATGAACGAATGAACGAATGAACGAATGAACGAATGAACGAATGAACGAATGAACGAATGAACAAATGGACAAATGAACAAATGGACATTTGCACCGATGCGAATATAAACAGATGAACAGATGAACAGATGAACAGATGAACAGATGAACAGATGAACAGATGAACAGATGAACAGATGAACAGATGAACAGATGAACAGATGAACAGATGAACAGATGAACAGATGAACAGATGAACAGATGAACAGATGAACAGATGAACAGATGAACAGATGAACAGATGAACAGATGAACAGATGAACAGATGAACAGATGAACAGATGAACAGATGAACAGATGAACAGATGAACAGATGAACAGATGAACAGATGAACAGATGAACAGATGCACAGATGAACAGATGAACAGATGAACAGATGAACAGATGAACAGATGAGCAGATGAGCATATGAACAGATGAACAGATGAACAGATGAACAGAAGAACAGAAGAACAGATGAACAGATGAACAGATGGACAGATGGACAGATGAACAGATGAACAGATGAACAGATGAACAGATGAACAGATGAACAGATGAACAGATGAACAGATGAACAGATGAACAGATGAACAGATGAACAGATGAACAGATGAACAAATGAACGAATGCACAAATAAACAATTGAACAAATGAAAAATGAACAAATGAATGAACAAATGAACAAACTAATGAGTGAACAAATGACCGAATGAATATATGAACGAATGAACTAACGAACGAAGGAAGACACGAACGGAAGGGCGAACGAAAAAAACCTGTCATTGAACGAATCAACGAATAAAGAACGAACGAATGTTCCAACAAATATTTTACGATATCACAATATAACCTCAGCTGCATGACAGTTTGAATTGAGAATTGTTTCCTTTTAGATTTTTTTATCGCTTGGAGCGCACGAAACGAAATCCCAATAATGTTCAATGAACATCGTGCGTTCCTAGGAAGGATAGGGACAAGAGGTAGGTATTGGAATGTTTTTTGTACTTCTGGAAATTATATGTTGTTGGGAATACTTCCTCAGGCAATGAATTTCAGAGCCTAGCCGTTCTATGGATGAAGGAGCTTTGATAAAGTGCTGTTCGACATCTTTCGAGGTTGACTACGAAAGGATGTGCTGACTGGGCTTGTCTAGTTCGTCTGACTGGTATTGCTAGTGAAGGGATGATAGCAGAGACTTCCGAAGAACATTTCCCGTGGAAGTATCGATAGAAAAGTGGAAGGTCGCCGACCTTTCTACGGTGTTCCAATGATGTCAAAGAGTGAGTGAGTGTGGCGTCACCCACCAGGCGAATGGCTCTTCTCTGGATGGAATATAAGAGCATCAGCATATGTTTTGGCGCTGGACCCCATATGTGGGAACAGTATTCTGAAACAGGCCGTATATGCGCTTTGTAGATCATGAGAAGCTATTGAGGTGTAAAGTAGCTTATCGCACGGAACAAGAATTCGAGTTTTTGTGAAGCAGCTTCTGCGATGGTTCTGACATGATTATCCCATGAGAGAGTGTTGCTGATGGAAATACCGAGCATAGATATGGTGGGCTTGGTGGGGATGGTGGTGCCGAACGAGAAAACGAACGAACGAAAAAACGAACTAACCAACGAACAAACAGGCGAGCAAACCATCATAAATACTGCGTTTCTGGGGAAATTACAGGCTTGAGTTCTGGTAGCGTTGAATTCAACTAGGTTGTTGGTCCCTTGGCTGTAATTTCCGCAAGATCTTGAAACCGCGTTTGCATTTCTTCGTAAGTTTTTAGTTTTCTATAGGAAGGAATGGAAATTGTAGAAGAGAATGCAGTATGGAGAATACTATCGTCTGCGAAGCTGTGGATAGGGCAAGTACTTGCTCCCAATAGATCGTTGATATGAAGTAGCAACAATATTGGTGCCAACCACATGGAGAGATCTGCCTGAAAAAAAAACTAGATAACAGATGGCATAGCTGAAGTGGTGAGCCGTATGATGATAGTTTATGGAGCAGTCCTTGGTGCCAAACACGGTCGAATGCCTTCGATATTTTTTCACGGTACAGATGGAGATTTCCTATGTTCTTCTAATGAAGCTTTCCATATATGGATGTCGTAGGCAAGTAAATCTCTGGAGGCGGAAGCCATATTTCCTATCATCAATGATGCCTGAACTTTCTATTATTTGATAAGCTCAATGTTGATGGCTTCCTCCATCACTTTGGAGATGACTGATAACAGGACAATTGGCCTATAGCTGTTGGCAGGCTCTTGTAGGCTCTTGTAGGAGATGGTGAATAGCTCGGTGTCAATTCTGGTGTATATTTTTTGAGAATAATGGGTGGAATTTTCTCAGGACCATTGAAATAATTCGTTTTGATACCGAGCGCCTGATCGTGCACTGACGAAAGACAATTTTGTGCATTCGACTTTCAATGGTTGGAATGTCTGGCGGCACCCTCTCCTGGAAATCCAAGGTGGTGTTTGTTGCGAACATCTCTGCACAAATGTTTTTCTTCTTCTTGCGATGCTGTGGCTTATGTGCCGTTGGCTTTCGAGAGTGGTGGAAATAAACTATTAGTGGAATTCCTTCCGACTGCTTTAGCGGGAGACTGAAACGATCGGGAGCCTTTAGGACAATCTATGAGTTTTGATCCTATATTGACATTGTATGATTCTCTTGATGCATCTATTGTTTGGCTGCTGTTATTGCTTGCTTTAACGTATTCTGCTCTGGTCCTTGCGCCAGCAATGGTAGGCTGTTCGTTTCAAGAAAACAACTCTAGAACAGTTCATGTTGAACTCAAAACGAAAAGGCTAACGGTCCTGATGGAATTCCACCCATTATCCTCAAAAAATGTGCACCAGAATTAACACCGATTCTCTGCAAGTTGTTTACCATCTCGTACAGGTCGGGTATTTTTCCATCATGCTGGAAGACAGCTAGAGTCCAACCAATCCCCAAAAAAGGGAACAAGAACCTGCCCAACAACTACAGGCCCATTGCCCTGTTATCAGTAATCTCCAAAGTGATGGAGAAAGCCATCAATATTGAGCTTATCAAATATCTGGAGAGCTCAGGAATCATCAATGATAGACAATACGGCTTTCGCCACCGAAGATCTACGGGAGATCTACTTGCCTACGTCACCCATTTATGGCAATCTTCAATAGAAAAACACGGGGAATCTCTAGCTGTCGCGTTGGACATATCGAAAGCATTCGACCGTGTTTGGCACGAAGGACTCCTCCACAAACTACCATCATACGGCTTACCACCTCAGCTATGCCATCTCTTATCGAGTTTTCTTTCAGGCAGATCGCTTCACGTGGTGGTGGACGGTGTATCGTCTGATACCATTGGCATCAATTCCGGCGTTCCACAAGGATCAATTTTGGCACCAACATTATTCCTGCTTCATATCAATGATCTGTTGGGAGTTACAACTTGCCCCATCCACAGCTTTGCAGATGATAGTACCCTCCATATTGCGTTCTCTTCCAGAATTCTCATTTCTTCCCAGGAAACTGAGAACTCACGGCGCAGGGCCAATGCTGTCAATGAAGATCTTGCTGAAATCACAGCCTGGGGAACGAACAACCTAGTTGAATTCAACGCCACCAAAACTCAAGCCTGCATTTTCTCTAGAAAGGCGGAACTCAGTATGCCCGATATTGTAATGTCTGGCTTCACCATCCCCACCAAGCCCACCATATCTCTGCTCGGTATTTCCATCAGCAACACTCTTTCATGGGATAATCATGTCAGATCCATCGCAAAAGCTGCTTCACAAAAACTCGGATTCTTGTTCCGTGCGAAGAGCTACTTTACACCTCAACAGCTTCTCATGATCTACAAAGCGCAGATACGGCCTGTTCTAGAATACTGTTCCCACATATGGGGTTCAGCACCAAAACATACGCTGATGCTCTTAGATACCATCCAGAGAAGAGCCATTCGCCTGGTGGGTGACGCCACACTCACTCACTCTTTGACATCATTGGAACACCGTAGAAAGGTCGGCGACCTTTCACTTTTCTATCGATACTTCCACGGGAAATGTTCTTCGGAAATCTCTGCAATCATCCCTTCACTAGCAATACCAATCAGACGAACTAGACAAGCCCATTCAGCACATCCTTTCGTTGTCAACCTCGAAAGATGTCGAACAGCACTTTATCAAGACTCCTTCATCCATAGAACGGCTAGGCTCTGGAATTCATTGCCTGTGGAAGTATTCCCAACAACATATAATCTCCAAAAATTCAAAAAAAATTCCTACCTACCTCCTGTCCCTATCCTTCCTAGGAACGCACGATGTTCTTTGAACATTATAGGGATTCCCTTTCGTGCGCTCCAATCGATAAAAAAAAAAAAAAAAAAAAAAAAAAAATGGTTTCGGAGTTGATGAGCTCTTCAAGAATGAGGTATGTATGTATTTCAAGCGTGATGATCTCAGATATTCTCGCGGCACACTGTGAAGAATCCTCAGAATCAATACATATGTTATGCCTAGTAAACTCGGAGAGAAACATGCTGAGACCCTCCCAGTCAACTGAGTTATAATGCCATACAAGACGTGGAGATGCTGGAGTAGTTGATAGAATGAAGAATGGGCAGGTTGTGAAGATGTGTGATCAGAATTGCCAAGTGGAACTCGAACAGCTCTGGAATGGTAGAGCATAATAATATTTTTCATGGGTACCCCACTACGCTTCTTTAAAGAACGCATCAGCGTGTTTGAATCCAAATTTCAAATACGCGCGTTTTATAATGAACTTATCACGGCAATATGAGCGACCCGAGAAACGTGAAGTCTGAATGCCAACGTTTTAATCATCAATCTGAAAAAATGTTCAATCATTCTACATCATTAGTTGTTATTTTCATATTTGTGATCTCAGTGTACCAATAAAAAAATAGCGTGAGGTTTTCGAGGACAACTTCTGGTCTGAAACACAATAAAATCTGATCATCATTCATTCATCAAACCAGGTCTTACCGATGGTGTGTAAACATTGATGAAGAGGCAATCTTCCGAACCAATGACTGGATTACTTTCTTGAATGCATCGACTTCCGTCTGTGGTGCAATCAATAGTTCCCTCCCAAGGCGTTTTGGCTACAGGCGGCTGTAAAGGAAAAACATTAAAAACTCGTGGCCTCTCCAAATTGCGTTCAGGTGTCAAGGATGACGTGGAAATAGACATAATCAAACTGCTAAAAGTATGGAATAGAAATATTCAAAAATGATATTGTTATTTTCAGTTTCCTCCTAGGATCAATGGAATCTTGTTCTAAAATTGACAGTTGCAGGAGCACAGCACAACAGTAAATCAGCACCTATACAGGGTGTTTTGGTCGAAATCGATTGGATTGATGAAATGGGTACCTACGAGGAGACAAAGGAGCAACACGAAATTGAATAACATTTTTGTAGAAACGAATATATAAAATATTGAATTTTAACGTTCCTTCATATCTTGAAGAGCAGGAAAGGGAATCCCTATTGTGTTCAAGGATGATCTTCCTCACCTAGGAAGGATAAGAAAATAGGAAAGGTATCGCATTTGTACTTGCAGCTATCGAGTTCATTAGTTCTTGGGATCCTTAGTCGGCCAATAATTCCAAAACTTTGCAGTTTCATAGACAATCCTAGTAAAGAGCTGCTCGACATTCTGGAAGTGGACAACAAGAATATGTCAACTATGAAAGAGCCGAAATGCTCAAAATGATATATTGAATGAATATGCATAGCTCAAAGACATTTCCACAAATGTACATAAATGGACGAAACTAGTAGATAACGAGAGAATTACAAATACTCTGCTGGTCACGCAGACATTGAATTGCATCCCTTTGAAAAACTATGCGACGATTCGTATAGAGATCGCAACCGTTTCTTCCCTAAATGCTGAATTGTTCTTCTATTGTTCAGGGACGCTTGACTACCTACCGATCGGTTTCGAGCTGTTGGCTCTCATCAGTGCAGGGGTGTCCTCAGATGGCATTCATGACCGCCATCTAGTGAGAACCAGACTCAACGTAAACACATCCCAGCATTGAATAATCTACTTACATTTTCACAAACATGGGCAGAGGCAATTTGGCAATAGTGGATGATTATGAAACTCACCCCCATTATGTTATACTCAACTATTGCTTGTTTGCTGATGAATAATCTTCTATGGAATTGAGAGACTTATATGAATCCATTGGTGGGGTCAAAATCGCTTATAATATTCAGACGTTTTCGACATATGAAAAAAGCATAGCTGGCATATTGTAGAATTTTCAAGATGTCTGGTTTCTATGAGGATGGTCGGATGCCAAATGAGTCACACCGTATAGAGTAGAATAGAATAAAATTTATTCATACCAGCGACAAAAATAAAATTTTGTATAGTACAAGTCAAACTTCCTTGAATAATACATAGAATATTTTGAGATTTGAATAATCAATGTTTTTTGTCTTCTTAGAATGATGCGCTTCGGGCCACATTCACATGAAAGTGGAAACCTATTACGTTTTTTTATCAATATCAAAACAAAACAATTTGCTTGTGATAATTTTGCGATCCACTTCACTTTCTAGCACGGTCAAAACAAATAAATAAACTAATTATGAAAGTTGGGTACTTAGAAAAAATGATTTCCACTGAAATTCGAATAATTTGAGTGGTTATATGAGACTAGAATATTCATTGATCATCTATATTCATAATATACGCAATACTATGAATAAAATAGATACCTATGTTCCAACTTGAACTAGATTGAGTTCAAAATTAGATAAATACTGTTCGTTGGTTAATCGAGGAACTGGTTTATTCATTTTGCTAGATTAGATGGGATAAATCGAAAAATATCTCATGAAGTAACCAATGTTGAATAATACATTTACATTGATTTTAATGCTTATCTTCTGCAAGACTATATGAAAAATGGGTTTTTGATTTATTCAACGATGTTCTTCTGACATTAATAAATTAATTTTAACCTCACATTTCTCACATATATATTGTACCTGTAAAAAAAATCACTTTACCGATTCTCACCTGATGATGTCCTAGTGCCGAAAACGTTCGAGTTGTTATTTAATAAATGAATTGTATACTATAGCCTTAGTCTTACCCATTAATATAGATTATTATACAAAGTATACACAATCATTCCTCTAACCGATATGAAAAAGGTTAGAATGGACTTCTACTGTACCCTTATAACACAATTATGTCCCATGAATATCTTTAGGACGACTTGTCGGGACATTCAGGACGTCCATAGGACGTCTGTGGGACGCACAAAAATCCCCCTTGAGGGCTGGGACAACTATCGAATACCTGAATCCTACAGTATTCTTCATCAAGCAATACGGAGGACATCCTCAGGACATCCGTAGGACAACCTATCAGCAACGATGAGGAATATCAATTGGATGTCCATAGGATGTCCCAGGGACGTACGAATTATTCTAGAAATTGAATTTTTCTGTGTCCCTCTAGGACGAGATCTTGCATAACTTATGAGGACATCCAGTTGAGATGATGGTCCGTAGAAGGTCCCCAATAGATCCTGAAAAAGTTTCCCAAGGATGTACAATGGACGTCGACGTGAAGGACATTGAAGGGGAGTATTTCCCACACGGCACCGGACGTCTGAAAGACGTCCATTTTATGTCCATATAATGCCTGAACGTCCACAGGCATAAAATAGACGTCTTGAAGACGTCTATCTTAGGACGTCTCACAGACGTCAAGAAATGGATGTCCTAAAGATGTGTTATTGAAGTCCAGAAATATTTTATCAGTAGAATCGAAGTTTTTGTGAAAGAAGCAGAATATTCAATTTTGATTCAGAACGAATTATTATTGCTGATTTTTTGTGTGGAATTATGTGGTTCTAATCTTCGCCAATTAAGTTTCACAGGCATAGAATGGACATCTTTTAGACGTCTGTTTCAGTACGTCCCAGATATGTCTTGTAATTGATGTTTTTAATACGTCTGCTGTAGGACATCTCAGAGACGTCCAGAAATGGATGTCCTAAAGATGTCTTATTGAAGTCCAGAAATATTCGATCTGTAGAATCGAATTTTTTGTGAAAGGGGCAGTATATTCGATTTCGATTCAGAATGAATGATTATTGTTGATTATTTTGGTGGAATTATTTGGTTCTAACCTTTGCCAAAGAAGTTCCACAGGCATAGAATGGACATCTTTCAGACGTCTGTTCCAGTATGTCCCAGAGATGTCTGCTGAAGGACGTATATACCCAGGTAGCCAGACTGACGAATGTGACGTCTATAGGACCGCTATCTAAGGTCTTTTTTGGTCTCATACGTCTTTTGACCAAATAATGACGTCATGCGGACGTCATTAATGTGACGTCTTATGGACAGTCACTGTTTGACGTCGTATAGACGTCAATCTATGGTCTTCATATTTTTTTGGGTATTATTATCATTATCATTATCATTATTATTATTACTATTATTATTATTATTTTTATTATTATTATTATTATTATTATTATTATTATTATTATTATTATCATGTATGTATAGGAAAACTAAGTTATATAATAAATTAATTAATTTATCCAAATAACTGTATAAATGTATGATAAAAATGTACTTTATTCCATAGGCTTCCCTTGATTTTCAATGTTCAAATTTAGCGCCAAAGACAATTCTCACTTACCGACCAGATGGCCAATGGCGATCAAGTAATTACGCGAAGAAATTGTGTATGCGACTCGCAACCATCTTGCGACTGCCGTTAGTGGCGTTAGTGCCGTTCAGCGGTCCGTTCTGTGGTTCAGCGTCAAGCTTGCATCGTGCATGGTGCGTTCCCGTTCATGTTCATTGTCCATCGTCCATGTTCGATTGGGTGTTGTTTGTGAACGGCGTCTGTGCCAGTGAATTTGTTAAGAATGTTAAAATGTTAAGTGTTTGAGTGGTATTTCTATACAGTCTGTTTTTCACGTGAAAGTATTCAGGATGTATTGTGTAATACAATTTAATGACAGTGGAAACAACAGAGTGTAGCTGTTGTTCACGAAACTTGGCTGACGCCGTTGAAAAAGGAAGTGTTTTGGCCGCCATTTAAAGACAGCAAAACATACAAAAGAGCTCTCAGTGAAGGGGAGCCATCGACGCTGAAATTTTCAACTATTTATGTAATACCTTACATTACTACCTTGTTAATAAAATCTTCATTCGTAGCAAATTTATTTTATAGCACAAATGATTATATCAAACATTAAAAAAACGGTTTTAGAACGTCCAGTTTATGTTCGATTGGATATAATGAAGGCATCTTAGAGACGTCTAATTTTGTAACAACAGACGTCATCAAGACGTCTTATGGACGTCTTCAAGATTTTACTGTACGTCTTGAAGACGTCCAGAATGCCTTGGGTTGACGTCTTAAAGACGTCTTTGGGACGTCTTCTTACTTTCTGGAAACGTCTTTAGGACGTCCAGATTATGTTCGACTGGACGTAATAAAGACATCTTCAAGACGTCCGATTTTGTAACAACGGACGTCTTGAAGACGTCTTATGGACCTCTTTGAGATTTGACTGGACGTCTTCAAGATGTCTCTAACGTCTTGAGTCGACGTCTTGAAGACATCTTTAAGACGTCATTGTGCTGTCTGGGTTATAGCCTATAAGCAATCATTCGTCGACGAGGTGTAAGTTGACGTCTTCGCAGGGACAACATATTGAAAGTACCGACTGGGACGTCCGACGGACGTTATTTCTAGGATATCGGAAGAGTACAGTTCATGTACCAATTGGGACATCCGACGGATATCCCTAAGGGATATTTCGATTATTATACGATCCTGGAAATATTAAGGGCGTATGTGCAGAGATATTTGAAAGTATGTACCATCAGGGACATCTCATGTTTGCCTAGAAGGCACATTATATAAGATCTGAAGTCATGCCAGAATTTGTACTACTCGGGACATCCGATGGATGTCCCTAAAGGAACGTTCAAAATCATATCCCATCAGGGACATGCCAAGGACGTCCTTGCATGGACATTCTACAATATGTACCACGTGGGACGTCTAAGGGATGCTATTTATGGGACATTTGAAATGATGTACCTGCTGGGACATTATGTGAACGTCCTTGCTCGGACATTTCATGCCATGTACGGGATAGGACGTCCCAAGGACACTTATTTTTGGTCCGGTACATTCGGACTTGAATTGTACCAAATAGGAACGTCCCTAGGACGTTGTGTGCTAATAGGGTATTTCTTCTCATTTCCAGTGTTGCCAACATGAAATTTTCATTATTTCATGTTGGAACACTTAAGACAAAAACAGATAGAAAAGCCATTTTGGTTCTCTCTGATGGCAATAATTGGAATGTTGAGAATATTTATTTTTGCACTTACCTCAAATCGAAGATCCCCCAAGGGCGGTTCTCCATATGGTATTCCCCGGAAATAATAATACATCTCATTGTTCTCCACAGTACTACCGGTTCCTCCCAATATGGAACCATCGTTTATATTCAATAATACTGCCTGAAACAAATTTCCTCATGAATTTCGCGAAAAATCATCTTTATTCTATGTGTTTCTCATAGAATACATCCATGAATCGATTTTTTATCGTCACCATAGCAACTGAACAAATTTCCGAAAATTGTTTCCTCCTCTTGAGGAGAAGGAGCATGAAATTACACTGAACTATTTTGGCGTTTTTAGGTTGAATGACATTTTATATTCAACGCTGATTTAAGATCAGATGTCCAATTCATTCTATGTTATATATAAAATTGTGTCCCTGTCACGGTATTAGAGGGGCCAAACTCCTACGAAACGGCTCGACTGATTCGTATGAAAATTTTTGTGTGTATTCGGTAGGTATGAGAATCGGTCGTGAGCTATTATCAAAATGGAAATTCATGATGGCAGATCCAATATGGCAGACGAATTTTGTAATTATAATCTGATTCTTCTCAAAATTGGTATATAGGAGTTTTTGAGGTCGGACATTGTGATTATCTCATTAAAAATTTGAAATTCAAGATAGCGGATCCAATATGGTGGATGAGTTGTAGCATGTAAATATTCACTACTGTATATTTGGTCTGATTCTATACTATTTTGTAATGCTGAGCACATCTGACAGGATATTTTGTCACAATAACATGGTTAACATTTTTCAATAACATAAATTGAACTCAATCTGCTTCATATTATTTAATTATTCTCAAACCTGATATGTGGATACACACCTGAGATTTCACACTGTACATATAATAAAAATACAATTTCTATAAATACATGGATATCTCTTGCTATATCTGCTTTGTTGTGATCCAAGTAGAAGGATGATTCAGATGGTTTTTACAGGAACTTATCTGAAAGAGATAAATAATATAAAGTGATATGAAATACCATTTCAGAGACATTGTCATACTCACTTTTCACACTGCTATTTCCACTTGAAACTTCATCACAGTAGGACAATAGGTATTGGATTTTCCAGGAATACTGAGGCGGATGGTTTCACTAGGAATCGACCATGGTGAATCAATTAACTTCGTTTGGCATTATTTTCTTGATTGATGCATTTGATAAATTCAGGTTGATGTTTTGTTTTTGTTGATCATCTGTTATTTCGCTTTACGTCAATTAGCTGTCGGTCATGACACCATGTCAACAGAGTCAAACTTGTCATGCGCCAAACGCCGATTCGGATTGATATATCCTTAGATCATCATCGTCGAACCAACAAGCCGAGTAATCGTGAAGAAAGGTGTGACGTCATTTTAGTCATCAATTCTGATTGGTTCAGATAGTCATCTGGGAGGAATCAAGTCTCTGGAGGGAGTAGCGATAACGTCTTTTATTTTGGATATTCAAATTTTCCGCCAATTTGAAAAGCGGAAACTGTTAAGTTGTTCTCGAAGTTTCTGGAAATTTGGAGAAGGGATTTCCTTTTCTGGTCGTGAGACAAGAGCTCACTTCAGAAAATTCTTCGTGGTGGTCAAGTGCCATTTTTGTGGTGTGAACCGGCTTCTGAAGTCCTGTACCGCCTGGCGTTCTGGATCACATCAGGATATCCTGGATTTGCTGCTGATCTACAAGGACTGCTGGACTCTACAGATTTTTTTTCTGGTTTTGGTTTAAGAGGCAGGATCTTCATGGTTCATCACCCAGGCAGCCACGTGCCTACCTTCATCGTCATTTCAATCCCTAACCCTTCATAGAAGGTGAGTCTTGCATTATTACGTTTTTTCTCTCTGCCAGTCCAGAAATTCAGAACCTCATTTTCATGAAATATTTAAGGGTTTTTTCACCGGGAGTTTTCTACCGGGAGTTCTTTACTGGAAGTTCTACAACGGGAGTTATCCTACCAGGAGCACTATTCTTCCCAGGAGTATAATTGCTCGACCAGGATCTGTCAATTCTACAAGGCCTTCAGTGGCTGTATGTTAGTCTGGAATCTGGATATCGTCCCCTGTTTGTTCCTGATGATGGATTTTCAAGGTGGAAATACGACAACTCTGTCAATGTCATCTGACATCCAGGGATGTGAAGTCAGCACCCCGCTCTCCGCCAACCTTCCCCGCAGCAGCTTCATCTGGTGGCACTAAAGCCATTTATCAAGGATAACTGGTGTAGGACACACCATACAGGTTTTTGACATGAAAATATATTTTTATTTTTCATTTTTATTCACTCATAATGCCTATTGCTAGTGTGTATAATGGACCATTTTTAAATCATAGCCAGGTCATAAATTGATAAAATCACACATGAAAGGTACATACTTCCCCTCCACATAGTATACTATGCGCTGGTAGAATTATTCACATTTAATATTTTTTTAAAAATCTGCTATGAATATAAAACGTCCTTACAGGAGCTTTTGAATTTTCAAGTACAATATAAGGTTGATTTATATATATTTTCATCCACATAATAGCAGGCAACAACAGTGTAGTTTCTTAACAGGAAATGAGTAATATTTTTTGATTATGCATATTTGTCAAAACCTGCGATGTGATATATGAGTCCTATCATCATAATTAAATGTTTTGGGTATTGTATATGACTGTTTTATTTGTTTATTGACATGACACTCCAACTCACAACATCTCTAAGGTAAATTTAGGTCTTTTAGTCTGGGAGAACAACTAATATTATTCATTATCTGGTTGCTCAACTTTCCAGGTAACATTTCATATGAATTAAAAGTTGCAGTGGCGCCCCATCCTTTTTGTTTAACCTTATGATTGCTAGATAACTGAATTTTTGCTATTTCAACTCATTTTGATAACTCGAACCCATAGTGCCTACTGACGAAGAGCTGCCGTTCGCAATGCACCTATTTTTCATAAAAGTAGGGCTGCAAAGATGACGTCCGAACGTGGGGGCCCGAGTTTTTAGTTAGGTTATTAGTAATCAACAGTTGTGAGTGTCCTGTTGATGAATGAATAAAATGTTTATGGTTTGGAAACAGCTGATAGTTTGACGGAGAGCCAGGAGAGTTGTTTTTACCACATTTTGTTTTGGTAGGTAAAAAATTTATGGGTTTTTATGAACTGAATGGTGAGTATATACACATATCAGGTTTCATAATATTTGAGAATCCGGTTTTGTGATTTAATATTTAATTAAATCAGTTTGACTGCTTCTTGCTTCAGACAATACTACGTACAGTGTTGCAACATTTAAATAATTTCCTTAGAAGTTGGAACAACAGTTTTGATATTTGATTTTGAACTGATTCAAAATGGATCAAAATTTTAAAGCTAATCACTTGCTGCAGGCTGAACTGAATTATGAGTTGAGAATTCGAGGTGTAATTTCTGAACGGAATCAAGATGAAAAACGTAAAATTCTAGGAAGACTTCTGTTTAAAGAAAAACAAAGTGGTACAAATGTAATGACTTTAGTTGATGAAGCTTATAACTTTGATACAGAGCGAGTAGAAATTCAGTCCACTTTAGATTCTATAAAATCACTTATTGAAGGTTTTGAAGGTCCTTCATCAGATTCTGTTTACAAAAGAGCAACCTCTAGAATAAATCATATCAGTTTTCGCATAAACAGAATTAAGTTAGAGCGGGAAGATTTAAATTATAGGGATGTATTGAATTTTAAGAATGAAGCTTATGCTACAGCCCTGCAATTTGATGCTGAATTAAATGAGAATGTTCAGGATGATGATGTCACTATTTTAACACCACAAGCTAGTGCTTCTACTACTGCTAACACCTTTAGTAATACAATTGTGAATTCTCATAAGTCAGTTCCTGTCTATAAATTGAATATTCAATTTGATGGTGAACCAAAAAATCTCCTTTCATTTATTGAACGCATAGAAGAAGTAGCTCAGGCAAGGCATGTTAGTAAAGCTGAACTTTTTGAATCTGCTAGTGACTTATTCAGTGGTAAGGCTACATTTTGGTTCAGACAAATCAGAACACAAGTTAATAGTTGGGAAACTTTGGTCATAAAATTGAAAAAGGATTTTTTGATGTCAGACTTTGATGATGAAGTGTGGAACCAAATAAAATCACGAAAACAAGGCAGAAATGAACCTGTAGTAATTTTCATAGCCTGTATGGAAACTTTATTCAGTAGACTCAGTCGTGGAGCCGCAGAGCTCACTAAAGTTAAATATATTAAAATGGGACTACAGGGTGAATACCTTAAAAGACTTGCACTTAGTGATATTGATAGTGTTTCTACCTTGAGTACACTTTGTAAAAAGCTTGAAGAAGCTGATATTCTTAGCTTGGCATCTGGTTCACAGTCACAGTATCAGAAACCTTTTCAATGTATGATTGATCCTGAGTTAACACATTTTTCAGATACCCTTTCAAGTTCTCAAACTTCTTGCAATGATCAGAATTTTCAGAGGAATTTTCAACCTCGAAAGCGAAATTTCAACATAAAGAAATCGAATAAAAATGTCAGTACCAATAAACAAGTTAATGTTACTAGTTCAAATGCAAACTCATCAAGTTCATCAGTATTATGTTGGAGGTGTTTACAACCAAACCATACTTTTAGGAACTGTAGAGCTACTGACAATATCATCAAGAAATTTTGTTTTAAATGCGGTTGTGCAGATGTAACTTTAAGGGAATGTAGAAAATGTCAGGGAAACTAGTAAGGGAGGTGAAGTATTACGACTCTTGTTTCCCTCCATTACTTAAAAGAGTCAACCCAATTTCAAGATCAAATTTTTTCAACATCAATGAATGAAATGATTGGAAAAATACCGTTAGAGATTTTTATAAAAATTATGTTTTCCATAAAAATTTAAATGTCGCACCTCTTTTTGTACAGAAGTCACGTGATAACAGACCATATATTTCTGTAAACATTTTTGATCAGAAAGTAGTTTGTCTTTTGGACAGTGGTGCCAATGTTTCGGTTTGTGGTCAAAAATCAGTAGATTTACTGAAAAAACTTAATCTGAAATGGAATAAATCTTTTTTGAAACATGTGACAACAGTTGATGGAACTGAACGGGAAGTCAAGGGTGTTGTTGATCTACC